TCATCCCTTTGCAATCAGCCCATCTCTTCAGCCTTGGATTTGATCCTTCTCAGGTCAGATCTCAGTTGCTTTCTTGATCCAGTAAGAGTTTAGGTCTGTGGTAGCTTTTAACTTGCCTTGGTCACCTCAAATTAAGAAGCTGTAATTTTTCTAAGAACATACTATGGATTTAAATCTTCCTTGTATGTCTCATTTTCTCCTACAGGATTTTCTTAAGGAATTGTGTTTCACTCCTGACTGTAGAGGCCTTATTTCCAAAATAGTTATTTTCGGTTCTTCTCGTCAGATAAAATGTGAAGTGAGTCATGTTCCTCTTGTATATGAAGATTATGTTTAAAGTGTTAAGGAGATGAAGATGAGAATGTCACAAAAAATTAAGTAATGATCTTATTAGCTGCAGGATCTGATTTCAGGGATATTAATTCCCTCCTGGTGGAGCAGGAATTGCCTTCTGGTGTTGGTTACGTTGTCATGGATGGGAGCTGGAGTTTCATTTGATGTTTGCTCTGTGCCACATGGAGGGAATGTTGGTAGTTAAACTCAGAGCTTATCTTGCTGAGGTTAATGATATTGGAGGAGTTCTCTTCCCCTCCACAGAGCCACAGAAAGGTGGATACTTCTTCCCAGAGGAATATTGATCTGAGGGAAACAAAAATGAGCGTCAAGTTTGCTTCCAGCCCACTGGGAAAGCAATCCAGACTCCACTTCTTTGTGACTCTGTGTCACCTCCCAGCCTGTCTCTCCTGCAGATGATGTGTTGCTCTATCCCAAGCTGCAGCAGTAGCAGATAATTTTAGTTAGACTTTCATGGGGCTTACGTGGGCTGAAATCTCTCTCATGGTGCTGCTGCTTTCCACAGCACCAAATTTCTGGGATTTGGCTACAGCAACATTGCATTGTGACTGAAATTCCATTAATATCTCCTTGCTTATTTTGGCAGTTTGAACAAAAAATCCCCAAACTTAAGGGACCACCAAGACCCTGTATTAAACAGAAATGCTCAAGGTAAGATCTCTACTGTTCGAATCAATTGGAGGACAAACCAGCGTTGTTTAGGGTTGATTTTGATGCCTTTGGCTAAAAGAACACCCTTTGGAAAGCTATTCCTGCCCTTTGCCTTGGATAGGCTAAAAAAATTAGGGAAAATGCATTATGATCCAATTATAAAAGCATTGAAATTGTGTTATAAACTGTCCCACAGAATTTCCTGTCTCACCAACTCTGTGTGAGGGTTTAGAAAGTGTAAATAAAAACTAGATTGTTTCATTGAGGATATTTACACTCTTATAGTTGATCTCCATGAAACTTTTAGGACATGTTTTGGTCTCGAGAAGCTGTAGAGCTGTTGTCAGACATGAAGCATAATTGGGATGTGCCTAACTCCTTGGGCAACTTAATTAATGTTTGGCTTGTTGCTTAATTGCTTTTTTTGCAGTCCTAGAAAGTTAAAAATTAAGCAAGACAAGAAACTGGGAAGGAAATGTGCACGGGAGAAGGCTCGGAATGGGACCAGAAAGAAAGGAGAGGAAAACCAGCAGGGAAAGGAACAGTCTCAGTACAGTCAGCACAGTGGTATGTGGAATTACAGGTTTTTGCTCTGATTTCTTCATGGAAAGGGCTGTCAGGCACTGGAATGTGCTGCCCAGGGAGGTGGTGGAGTCACCATCCCTGGAGGTGTTCAAGGAATGACTGGATGTGGCACTCAGTGTTAACTTAATTAAATCTAGAACTTAATTTCCTAGAGAGACTCCACACTAAATACTCTAAGAACAGTTTTTTAGCCTGTGCACTCCATACTGAGTTCTCTAGAAGCCTGTTGCCTGTTCTGTGGCATATCCTGGCACTTGGAGAGATTTCTGCTTCCCTGTGGATTTCTAAAAGCACTTCCAGTTACTTCTTGTTTGATTTTGGAAAGTCTTTACTGTGGCTTATCTTTAGTTCTGATCCTTGGAGCCTTCTGATCCTTGCAGGTCACTGTTACCTCTGTGTGACTTGACTGTCCATCCTAAAGTCGAGTCAAGGTGGTGTTTTCCTTTCTGTAGACCAAACTTAAAGCAATATGAGATCAATTTGATAATGCTATAAATATAGATAATAAAAATAAGGTATAATAATTCTGTAATTTTCAGTGCAATGACAAAGCAAATCATTGCTAACAGCACTTAGTCCAACTTATCTATACTAAGTTGTTTTCCATTGTGGTACAGATGTGAAATCTTGTTTCTTTTGTTTTACTCCCATTGTAGGTTATGGTCAGGATTTCTGTGCTGGTGATTGGGTCCTGCAACACATCACTTGGAATGCTGAGGAGCTCAAAGTAGCAGTTCATAATGCTTCTAAGTTATTAAAGGAGTTGCTGTCGTGGTTTATAATCAGTGAGGAGGATTACAGCTCATACTCTAGAACGAGCAGCACTGCACATGACCTGATGCAGCAGCTCATCAGTTCCTTCATTCAGGAGAAGAACAGAGTCAAAACAAGGGGGTTCATCTATGTGCTGAGTCAGCTGGAAGAAGTGGACCCCAAATTACACAAGTGGCTGGAACATCTTAACACCTTGGGTAGGTTGTGTGAACACCTCCCGTGTCAGAATTGTGTACTGAGCGGAGGGGAAACCTCCCTGTTCTCCAGTCTGCATGATTTGATCTCCCTGTTCTCCAGTCTGCATGATTTGATCTCCTCGTTCTCCAGTCTGCATGATTTGACCTCCCTGTTCTCTAGTCTGCATGATTTGAAATGGCAAAGCAAAGTTTTTGTCTTCTCCAGTGGGATTGAGTGCACCCTCAGCAAGTTCTCTGAGCACACCAAGTGTGTGGGGCAGTCACAGCTGGAGGGAAGGGATGGCACATCCAGAGGGACCTGGACAGGCTGGAGAGGTGGAACAATGCAAACCTCATGCAGATCAATAGAATGAAGTGCAAGCTGCATGATTTGAAATGGCAAAGCAAAGTTTTTGTCTTCTCCAGTGGGATTGAGTGCACCCTCAGCAAGTTCTCTGAGCACACCAAGTGTGTGGGGCAGTCACAGCTGGAGGGAAGGGATGGCACATCCAGAGGGACCTGGACAGGCTGGAGAGGTGGAACAATGCAAACCTCATGCAGATCAATAGAATGAAGTGCAAGGTCCTACATCTGGGCCATGGCAATCCCAGGCACAGCTACAGGTTGGGTGGGGAAGGAATTGAAACCAGCAGTGAGGAGACTTAGTCAACACCAAATTGCTATTTCTAAAATGAATACAAACCCCATTTATCACTTCTTTTTTGCATTTTCAAGACATAAAACCTTTTCCATCCTCTCTTTCAGACCGAACGGTTTCCCTTGAAGAGAAATATCACACTGTAAGCACCAAAACTCTGAAGCCATAATGAAATGTTGGGTTTTCCATCTCTTTTAGGTCTGACAGCTACAGAAGACTTTGTCCTTCAACATAGACAATTGCTGCAAGAGCTTGACCTTTCTGTTTTAACCACCCTCTGGAATCACAAGTATGGTAATAAGTTTGACTACGTGACAATTAATTCAGAAGCCCAAGAAATCCGTGATTATTTCCTCAAACCACCCCTAGAGAAAACTCGTTGTTTTATATGGTTGTTAGAGGACAACAGAGAACATTTTCCACATCTTCATCAAGCTTTGGATGAGTTCTTCGATAAGATGGGTAAGCAGGCAAAGGGGCCAAGCTGGACCAGATGGATTTCCACCCAAAATGGGGTTTTATTGTTCCCTTGGAGGTAAAAGTTCTGCACTGCAGTCTGGGAGAGGCTTTGGTGGCACTGAATAGAGGATGATAACCCTGACTCCTGTGGTTTCACAGTTTCAGCTGTACATGAGGGAAAATATTGCTGTTCCAGTAATCAGTGTGACTTTTATCCTTTTAACAGATAACCCAACTATTATATTAAAGAAGCAGGAAAATGAAAATATATTGGTGAGTGAACTGAACTTGTGTTTAGGCTCAGCTCAGAAACAAGTGTTTGGGGTTTCAGACAAGTGAAGAGAGATGTGCACTTTTCCCAGCATCATCTCTCAGACCTGAGTAGAGATTTAGTCTCTTGTTTTATTCTTTTCTTAATTAGCTGAAGTCTTAGAGCTTTCTGAGTAACATCATTCAGTCCATTCCAACTGGCAGAAATATGTTGTGTGTTTCAGCTCTTTCTGTGTTCAAGTTCTGCTAACCTGCAGATCAGTTTATCTGCACAAATCCAAGAATTACTTTTGATACAGCATAAAACCTGAGAGTTAATTAACAGACATACTAAGTAAACGTGATATTCTTCACTTTTTCACTTCATGAATTGGAAAGCCAAGAATGAAATGAAAACCATTGCAATAAAACTGCTTTTGTTTTCAGTGTTATTTACAGCCTAAAATAGGCTGTTAGTAATTGCTGCTAGTAGAGTTAGGTTAATCCATCATCACAGTTAATTAGCTTTTTAGTTCTTCATTTTGCATATCTTAAGCCACCAGAGCATTTGACTGTCCTGTTTGCTTCCTGCTCCCCACACAAATCTGTGCCATGTGGGAGGTCACAGCTCTGTAAATAGGCAGTTTTGGCTATGAGTCATGAGTAAGCAGATGAAATACCAAAACAACAGAATATTCTGTTTTTAAACATCAATATTTGAGGTGTGTAAAGAGGAAAAGGAACAAAAATGATCAAGTCTTGCAAAGCTGTTGCTTCCTGTTTTCCCGCTGGGGATGGAGTAGAGAGGGAGGATATTGCACACTTCACTCTCTGAATCCTGGTGGGCAAACCAGAGTGAGAATTTCCACATGAAACCTTAACATTTACGTACTGGGGTTGGAAATACATCTTAATATTACTGCCATTAAGAGAAACAACCCAGTGACTTTGGTTTTTCTGTTTCAGACTAATGATATCAAAGTTAAAAACAAAAACAAGAATAAGAACTTGAAAGACTCAAAGGTCAGTAACTTTTTAGCTGCTAAAGGAGCTACTACTTACTGCTGAAAACCCATCTGAAAATGCTTCAGGGGTTCAGATGTGTAGAGGCTCTTTTCTTAAAACTGAAACCATAGAATATCCTGAGCTGGAAGGACCCACAGGGATCAGAGTCCAATTCCTGCCCAGGACACCCCAACACTGCACCCTGAGCCGGAGAGCATTAGCCAAGCCCTCCTGGAGCTCTGTCAGCCTTGGGGCTGTGACCACTGCCCTGGGGAGCTGTTCAGGGCCCAAACACCTCTGGGGGAAGAACCTTGTCCTGACATCCAACCTGACCCTCCCCTGACACTGAATGCACTGTGGAATTAACACTTTGTGCTCTGCTTTATTTTGCATCAGTAGCAAATTGGAGAAGGACATGTTAAAAAATGTGTCCTTGCACCTCATGAAATAGATCTGAAATTGTCCTTATCTGTTCATTGTGATCATTTTCATGAGCATGTCAGTTACTGAAGATGCAAATGTATTTAATGCTCAGACAAGTGGTTATTTATTTGTTACTTTATAGATTTTGCTGGGAATAATATTCCACCTGCTTTGTTGAGAACTTCTTTCCCTTCCATGCCCTCACATTCTGCAGCTTTATTAGAATTTCAAGAGGCAGCTGAAGATTTTTCCCACTTTCATCAACCAGTTTTTCATTTTTCTAACTTAGCTACATTTCTGTAAGTTCATGTGTTTCTAAAGTTGTTAGACAATCAAGATTAAAAGACAACCAGAAGATTTCTAATGGTCAACAAAACAGGTGTCATGAAATCACATGGAACTTGGGATAACTCCCCTGTGATGTAATTGTTAAGCCTCAGATGTAAAGGAAGTTTGATTAAGTTTTGATGAAATTGGCTGAATATCCCAATTTCTTCTTCCAAAGTAAGTTCTGAAGAAGAAATTAATAATTTTAAACCAAGAACTCTCTTGCTGTGGCTTATTGTTCTTGGACTTTGGCAGTTCCTGTGTGGCCTCTGAGCAGGATGAAGTTACACGACTAAGTTTGGTGTAAATAGTTACTCCTAGTTTTTACAGTGGATCATTTTGTGAGGTACAAAGTACTAAATCTGTTTTTAATCAGTCTATTTTAGTATTATCCAGTGGAGTTAGCACAGCACCACGGGAGGAGAAGATCCTTATAGAAGAAAATACTATGTAAGTCCCATCATGTGTCTGCTTTTATTGCCCAAAGTGCTGTAGAAGACAATATCTGGGTTAACTTTCTTTCGTTATTCTGCTACAGAGATTCTACAGATGAACCATTTGTAATCCCAGAAAATCTGCAGGAGCAAGTGGCAGAATTTGAAGCTCTCTATGAGCGTTCAAACAGTGCCAGTTATCAAAGGCTATTGGATAATACCCCAGATCAAATCTATGAGGATATATATGAGTAAGTTTACATCTAGCTTTACTATTGCTTCATAATTTTTTATGAAGGTCTTTGTCAGTGACATGGACAGTGCATTGAGGCTCCCTCAGCAAGTTCTCTGAGCACACCAAGTGTGTGGGGCAGTCACAGCTGAAGGGAAGGGATGGCACATCCAGAGGGACCTGGACAGGCTGGAGAGGTGGAACAATGCAAACCTCATGGAGTTCAACAGAATGAAGTGCAAGGTCCTACATCTGGGCCATGGCAATCCCAGGCACAGCTACAGGTTGGGTGGGGAAGGAATTGAAACCAGCAGTGAGGAGAAAGACTTGGGAGTGACAGTGGATGAAGTGGATGTGGGAAGGTCTAGGTTGGATGTGCGAAAAAAGTTTTCCCAGTGAGGGTGGTGAGACACTGGCCCAGGTTGCCCAGGGAGGCTGTGGCTGCCCCAACCCTGGCAGTGTTCACAGCCAGGTTGGCTGAGCCTTGAGCAACCTGGTGGGAGGTGTCCCTGCCCAGGGCAGAGGGTTGGGGCTGGATGATCCCTAAGCTCCATTCCAACCCCTAAATTCTCTGATTCTGTGATAACCTCATGTACTCAGTCCATAATTGTGGCCCTGGAGGTGTGTGTAGGTATGTCCATAGAGGGATGTACTAACACTTTGCAATAGTGAAATACAGTGTTAGAATCACATTAAAACTCTTTGATTAATAGTGACAACTCTTTCTTTCTTTTTCTTTTCTAAGGTATTTCTTTCAGATTTTGGATGTACATGGCCCTGTGGAAATGAATAATAAGTTACTTACTGGGGAATATGAAAATTTCCCCGCGGAAGCTCAAAGGGTTGTGGAAGAGGAAGGTGGTCTGAAGCGTTTCCTCCTCAAATCCCCTCGTTTCATTCTGGTGGATAATCTCATTGGGTTAAGAAAACATGCAGTTCTTTTTGAAGGAAATACATACAGAAATGAGACTGGAGGTAATGAAAATTATATAGCTGATGTGCAAGGAAATTCTTCCCAGAACAAGCTACATTTAAATCCAGATGCTGAGGAGTTCCAGCCACGCTTTTATCCTCTCCAACCCTATATATCACCACCTACTGACTTAACAGTAGCAAGTTATAAGACTTTACCACGTTTGCCCTGTTCCTTTCCTGCTTCCTCTACATCTGAGCTTTCTTTGCATAGTCACAGTATTGATTCCATAGCAAACAAGTCCTTTCCAGACATAATAGGCTTTGAGTCTAAAAATCCTGTTATGTTTTTGCCTCGCACTTCCTGGGGTTATCAATATGGAAGAATATTGCCTGTGGCTTCTCCAGTGCCTCTGGGATCACCTGTTGCCAGGCAACCTGGGTATATTTATGCTGATCATGTAACTCATCAGGATAATCAGGAATTGGCCATTTCAGACAGAAAATACATCTGTGGAGGTTTTATACCAACCGAAATCCAAACCTACCAAGAGCGTTGGTGCCAGGTGGAGAGCTCTGGTAACAAGTTTTATGAAGATCATTTTGCTGGTGGAAGTAGTGGAAATGAAGCTGATAGTGGTATAGAGGTTATTAAGATGGAAAAAGCAAGCGGAAGTGTGGCTGTAACGAAGAACAATCCTCACACAAGGATGGTAGCTGTTCAGGTAAGGGGCTGCAATGGAGCAGCTGTTTGAGGGCTTTTAAAGGCCACCAAGGTGATCACAGGGATGGAGGTATCTCAGAGCTCCTGGGTGAAAGCCACAAGGTCCCCATGATGTGTGGCTTATGTCATCTGTCAGGTCTCTGAGCTTTGCTGCTCTGCACTCACAGTTCAGGCAGATCTGCTGAATTCTCCATAACACAAAGTTCTGGCATGGATTTCACACTTCCAGTGCTGGGACCAGTTCTGGGCCCTCTCTGCAGGAGAGACATGCAGGGGCTGGAGGTGCCCAGGGCAGGGGACGGAGCTGGGGAAGGGTGGCAGAGTCAGTCCTGGGAGCAGTGGCTGAGGGAGCTGTGGGGGCTCAGCCTGGGGAACAGGAGGCTCAGGGGGAACTCATTGCTCTCTGCAGCTTCTGCCAGGAGGTGCAGCCAGGTGGGCTCAGGCTCTGCTCCCAGGGAACCCAGACAGGACCAGAGGAAACACCTCAGGCTGTGCCAGGGGAGGGTCAGGTTGGCCATCAGGAGGAATTTCCCCATGGAAAGGGCTGTCAGGCACTGGGATGTGCTGCCCAGGGAGGTGTTGGAGTCAGCACCCCTGGAGGTGTTTAAAAGCTATGTAGATGAGGCACAACAAGTGCTTTCCTTGGAGACTGAAGTCCCTCATAGAAAACCCTTGCTCAATGCCTACCTTGTATATAGACCTCTGTAATGCAGTTGGGTTTGTAAATGTGTGGGAAGGTACAAAAGCTCCAAACCAGACCTGACCTGGGAGTTTCATGTGTGACCTTTTTTTGTATTCCAGGTAAATCAGGAAGTAGCTGATATGGAAACTAATACCTTACCTTATCACCCATTTGAAAATCAACAAGTAAGTGACCTGCACCTTTTTACATTTCTCATCAAGAAAGTTAAAGGAATGGCCAAAATAGAAGTAGTGAAAAGATAAAGGTTTTCTGAAAATGACAAGTTTAAACAGACACAATGTGTCTTGGGCTGTTGGGTGGTTTCGCTGGGGTTTTTTTTGTGTTCTTGATGTTGGAAGATCTTGCTCTTGGAAACTTCAGGTAGGCCCAGCAACAAGGTGGTGTTGGAGCTTTGTTCTGTGGCTATTCAGATGTTGTTTCAGGGAGATATTTCCTCTCCAGAAATATTGAGGTTTGATTTAAATACTGCATTTGAGCATATAGACAGTTCAGACTGGTGGTAAGGGCAGGTTTGTGTCTGTAGCAGGAGATAAAGGTGACAAAGTGTGTGGCCTTGGAACTGGAGACAGGTACTAGATTGGTTGTTGTAACTGATTTCTCTGCAGGGAGATATTCTGCGTGTGGAAAAGGAGCATCAGGTGTTAAAAGAACAACTTAAAGAAGCAGAGGAAAAATTTGACCAGTTACAAAGTCGAAGTTTGGAGGAAACTGGTGCTTCAGAAGAGCTCCTGAAGAAAAGGACTGAGGAGACTAAGGTATCAGAGGCTGTGGCTGCTCCATCCCTGGGAGTGTTCCAGGCCAGGTTGGATGGGGCTTGGAGCAGCCTGGGCTGGTGGGGAGGTCTCCCTGCCCAGGGCATGGGTGGGAATTGATGAGCTTTAAGGTCCTTCCAACCCAAACCTTCTGTGATTCTGTCACTGATCATAAACATCCTCAGTCTGCTCAAAGCTGCATTGGAACACAATGGTATTTTTTGAAATAAAGTCTTATTTTCTTCTGCTTTTAGGTCTCAAAGAGTGAACTGGATTGGTTTCATCAAGATTCAGAGACACAAATGAAAAAGTGGCAGCAGGAGAAGAAAGAAAGTAAAAAGAACTTAAAAGTACTAAGGGATGCAGTTAAAAAGCAGACAGATACCAATGAGAGGTACTGATTTTAGACACAGATTTACATTACTTTCCCTTGGCTTTTTGTACTCATTTTCCTAGTCAGTTTTGACAATTCCTACTGTATTTTAATGTCCTCTCTCGGTTTACAGACCCCAGAAAACTTCAGTCCTTGAATGCTGTTGTTTGTTAGTTTAAGTAGTTTGGAGCAAATCTCTTGGAAAAATTATCATCCTGTTTTGATACTAGTTACTGCTTTGTTAGAAATACATTTAAATGTGCTTAGAATAGAATCATGCAACAGTTTGGGTTGGAAGAACCTTAAAGATCATCCAGTCTCACCCCTTGCCATGTGTAGGGACACCTCCCACCAGCCCAGGTTGCTCCAAGCCCCATCCAGCCTGGCCTGGAACACTCCCAGAGATGGGGGTATCATAATTCTTATGGTATTAAACACTACCTAAATTGTCACAACTCAATTAGCAGCCCAGAAAGCCAATGGAATCCTGGGCTGCATCCACAGAAGTGTGGGCAGCAGGTCAAGGGAGGTGATTCTTCCCCTCTGCTCTGCTCTGCTGAGACCCACCTGGAATACTGCACACAGTTCTGGTGTCCTCAATGTAAGAAGGACATGGAACTGTTGGAGCAAGTCGAGAGGAGGCCACGAAGTTGCTAAGAGCACTGGAGCACCTCCCCTATGAGGACAGGCTGAGGGAGTTGGGGCTGTTCAGCCTGGAGAAGAGAAGGTTGTGTGGAGACCTCAGAGCAACCTGCAGGAGCTGAAGGGGCTCCAGGGAAGCTGCAGAGGGATCTGTGTTAGGAGCTGCAGGGACAGGACAAGGAGCAATGGGGAGAAATTGAAAGAAGGAAATTTAGATATGAGATGTTAAGCAGAAGCTTTCAGTGTGAGGGTGGTGAGACACTGGCCCAGGTTGCCCAGGGAGGCTGTGGCTGCCCCAACCCTGGCAGTGTTCACAGCCAGGTTGGATGAG